CATTAAGCTCATCTCCGTTGGTAATGGCTTCAAATGACATAATTGCTGCCTCTGATGCAGAGCTGTCTAGAAGAGTCTTCTCGCTGCACTGGTTCCCTATAGGTCATGAAGGCCTAGGTTACACATTAATCTAACCTCACCAGTTTGAGGAAATCTTTTCAGCAGTTTTCTCTTAAGGCCTTCCAATAAGAGACTGTAGAGATGTGCATGAAATGTCTAGTTACAGACATGGCAGTTACATTCTCCACCGAGTGGCATGTTAGGAAGGAATTGAAGCAGCCAGGACCATTGAAGCAGCCAGGTCATGTTTCTCAGAGCTGCCACCCAACTACTATTAGTGTCATTACTTCCCTGCCTAAGTGCATTGAGAGGTTTTAGCTGCTCACATTACAATAAGTAAAGTTGCAAAAATTCTCATAATCACAATCAAACAGCAACACTGGCCATTTTAGCCACTGAGGTGTCCGTTTACGAACCAGCGATAATAGATCGCTGCTCAGTTCTCTGGCATTCTCGGAGAACACAGTTCTCCTGTGAATGCAGTTTATGAAGCAGTTCTCCGAACGAAGGGAGAACGATCTCCAAACGCTGGAGAACGGTCTACAAACTCTGGAAAACGGCCGATTTTACTATAATCTCGCGAGATTACAGTAAAAGTTCAGTTTACTAAACAGAGGTAAATTATCTCTGCTTAGTTTTCGGTCCCTCCGATTCTCCAGCTCTGGGCTGGAGAATCTGGAGGGAGAACACAGATCTCCAGAGAAGGGCTGAACATATTCTCCCGGGTGTTATAAACTGTGAATGACCAGAGAATAGCTGTGATCCTCTGAATCTCAGCTATTCTGTGTTTCATAAACGGACACCTATATGCCTTAAACACAATGGGGTTGATTTACTTCAGCTGGAGAGTGCAAAATCTAGTGCAGCTGTGCCTGGCAGCCAAAAAGACATTAAATGCGACTGGTTTCTATGCAGAGCTGCACCAGATTTTGCACACTCCAGTTTTAGTAAATCAATCCCAATGGCTTCTAGACATGTATGTAAAGTAATGCAAAGAGCAACAGTTACCTACAGCCACCAATAGGATTTCACCTTTTATCAGTTAAAAATATTTTTACAAGGCATTTCTTACAGTAGTAAGCTATTGCATTCACTTTATTAAAGCCCGACTCCAGAAGATGTTTTTTTGTCCTGTTTCTTCTAGGAAAAATGACAACCAGTGTCACAAATCTGGGAGACTAAGACTGTCCTTAGTGTAAGACGCCAAGGTTTCATCCATTGAAGTGACATTTCCACTGCACTGCTCTCTGCATCATTAAGGACCGCCAGCCTCCTGAAAGAATCCGAGGAGGAAACCGATCCTAAACTTCATAAAGCCGGCCTAAAGACGTGAAAATATATCAAAAAGAAATACAATAAAATATAGCAGAGGAGGAAGGGGAGCCTGGAGTTGGGCTTTAAATAAAGACTACATTTTTATCAGGTGACAGGAAAGTCTGATTCCAGCCGTAGTAAGTATACTACTTTCATATACGGGCTGCTCTGTGTAGAGTTCTTCTTTATGAATGACCACAACTGCCTATGTAACTTCAAAGCAACCGGATCTCGTCTATGGAGCAGGAAGCAGGAGGCTACATTTCTAGAATTAGTATCTGATTGGCTATGCTTCATAGATACAGAAAACACAAAACTTACCTATTACAGCTACACATTTGATCTAGATATTTTTAGTGTCATTAATCTAGTCTGGATCCGGTCTACTTCTGTACATTAAGCTACACAGTGCAAGATTTAGGAAGTATATGATCTACTAGGTCGCTGGTTTCTGAGATTTTGACCTCCCTGTGTCCCACAAGCACTGAGCCAAGCAAAGCACTATTAAACATCCACACACATTAACTTGTTCCCATAATAATTCTTAAAGTGGTTCTAAAGTCAGTTTGCATTAAGGTAAAAATATGCCACCACTTGTTCTACCTACCCCCCATTCCAAACACTTAACTGACTCCGGTCTCGTCTCCAGCACCACTCCCCTTACTTCCCAGTCTCACAGGAGACACTGGGGGGCAGTGGAGCCATAGGCTTCTATTGCTGTTCGTCAAACTCCTGTGAGGAGGGAGCAGGGGCATGTCTTACTGGCGCTTTGTGAGTCTATGGATGCACACCCACAGTGCACACGCAAAACCTGGCTTGCTAAGGAGGCGCTCTGATGAAAGAAGTGGACAGCGTCAGAGGGGGGACTGGTGGAAAAGCAGGTATGGGATCTTTCTTTATAAAGTCTCCCTGGCTCTACAAGTCAGACAAGGGCAATAACACAAACATAATGGGACCTTGCATGTAGCTACTGCTTTTCTACATGTCATGGCTGAGCAGACTGGAACTGGTGGAAAGATGTGCAGCTCTCCTGATGCAACCGGGTATTCACAGGTGAGCTGTGCTGTCTATATTCCTGATGTAGGCAGAGTTGGGCCAAGGGGTAGGCAGTAAAAGGATGGTTCAGTAAAAGGGACCACAAAAAGGGCAGGATCCGCTTAAGTGGTTTACAACTTATGGGGAAAGGTGGGTGCTCTTTGGTCTTTTTGCCTTGGTTGCTAAAAGTCCTTGTCCTGGCATTGGATGTAGGGAAGGGGTGGCTACAGTTGCAAACTTGCTCAAAGTGTCCCGAGCTAAATATAGCTCCATTCCAGTACAAATGTTAAATGTGAATTTAGGCTCCTTAAAAAGTCCTTACCTGTTAGATTGGAGTTCATTTTAGCTGTTCACTGCCATTAAAGCAGAATCCCAGACAAACAGCTAAACATTTGTGCTCTATTAAATGGATTTGTAATACTATTCAACAATTCTTTTTCAGTATTTACAAGCCTTTACCACACTGTACAATCACAGTGACACCCCTATATCCAGGCTTCCCTTTATAGCTTCCCGTGTTTCTCTGCCTACACTTGCTCATTGGCAGTTATTCATCATCATCACCTTGTGTTCAAAGAGCAGGCAGATGAAACAAAGCAGCGAAATAGGAAATAATGGGCACATCTTCCTAATAATACAGGGTGGAAGAGGTGTGTAAATCATAGGAGTAACTGAACAGATTTAAAAATTCCTTTGGAATGTAAAACAGTTATGCACATACCATATGTACTTCAGCTGCTCATTAATAATTTGTGATTTTGCCTAAAGTAATTCTAAATGCATTTTTAAAAAAATATCTTACGTGCTTTGTGCAGTGGTGTGTGCACAAAGCAGCCTCAATCCTCCTCTTCTGGGGTCCCCCATCGGTGCTCTTGGCTCCCCCCCCCCCTGCCGAGTGACCCTAGAGCAAGCCGCTTTCCCTGGGGGTATTTGTGCGTAGCCGCTCTCGAGCCAACTCTGTTTCCATCAACACAAACAGTGTGGCTCGGCCCTGCCCCCTGCTCTCTCCTCACTGGCTGTGATTGACAGCAGCAGGAGCCAATGGCTCCCACTGCTGGCGCTCTCTCCAAAGAGGACAGAGAGAGCCAAGAGAGCTGCTGCTTTTATGCACATCGATTGATCAAGATCGGGCTCTGATAACTATTTGGGGAAAGGGGGGGGGGGGGGTGGATTCTCTACGCAGAAGGTTTTTTACCTGAATGAATAGAATACATTAAGGTAAGAAAAAAAAAAACAACTGGTACCTTTAGAACCACTTTAGACAAACTTAGTAATTTGTTTGTTTTTTATTTTTTTCAAATAATCAATTTTTTACTTGCAACAGGGGGTAGATAGTACAAATCAGCAGCTCTGTAGACCCTACAGCTGTCATCATCTAGATATCGGTGTTAGCACAGTTGGGAGATGACTAGGAAACGTCAGTTGCAGAGCTATAGTATTGGGTTTTTGTTCCTGTTCAGATCTACTGAAGAGGCAGAGTAGCTACACAGGAGAAAAACCCAAATTTCTACCCACATGGCAAGCAGAGGCACAGTGATACCCTATAACAACAACTAGGCTGATTTAACGATTTGAGACTGCTCACACTATATATTGTGCAAAAAGTCACTTCAATCATCCAATTATGTAAAAAGAAAATCCCCTCTGTACGTTTTTCATGTCTGGATAATTGAAGTGGATCTTCACACATTATGTTGTGTGAATATTCTCAATTTCTTTAGTATATTGGCCTTAAAGTGTATTTTGTAAATCTGCAGGCTTATTTCAGAAAACATGCAAACAGCACTGATATGCAAAGTTCAGTAATCCCACCGCAACCAATCAGATTTTAGTGTTGTCATGTCAGTTCTGATCAGTGTACTCTGGATTACTGTACACAGTTGCTTGACGTTGTTGGGTAGCCCTGAAAAGGTTTCATTTTTCCATCAATTTTTGTTTACAAAAGGGACAGATGACATAGCCAATTTAGATACAAACAGTGATAAAGCTCTTTTACTTGATAATGTCTCTTCTGACGATGGTAATCAGATGATCTGTCCTTAGACAAACCGCTGGTGACACGCCTGTAATCACACAGGAAATACAGAATAGTCACCTCCAGGCCAACATATTCCAGTTGTCCCCTGACTAGTGTCAGTCTGTTCATTTTTCCAGTGTTAAGTCCCAGATAACAAATAGGGGCATTCTGTGTCCTTCCAAGTGCTTTCCGAGAATTACATCTGAATACAACAGATGGTCTGGTCCAAAGCAACGTTCTGGACTCTTTTCCATTTCTCAAGGTCCCTTGTTGTGTATTGTTGTCAAATAAATTACCTGAGCACTCTAAGGCTGGCGAGATGCTTATGGGGTCACCTTGGAGCCAGAGACAGTGTAGTTCTAGTCACTAGCCTGCCTGGGTGGTGGAAGGGCACAAAGAGATGAAGACCTTGAGGAAGCTCTGGGAGAGGTGTTGGTCAGTAGTTTTTATCCAGGGTTCCTGGTACAATACTGAACAGGAGGCTAATGTGTCACAGCAGTCTTTTTACTCCCCCAGATTCTGTCAGTCTTTGGTGGTGTGTGTCAAAGAATAGGAAGGTCCTTCTGTTTACTGTTCATCTCATGCGATTCTGTCTCATCAGTGGAACAATGCATGATGGAGGCCCTGCTTTGGTCAAGAAGGGATGCTTCAGAAGCTCATTAGCAGTGGCTCGCTGGCTAGGGTCTCTCACTAGAAGCCGGTCAAGAAAGCCCTTAAGTAAGGGAGATACCTGAAGAACCAAAAGACAAACAATACATTTCTCATAAGTAACAATGCAAGTAAACATACCAGAGAAAACTGAAGTGGTTAAGTAATCAGGTATTTTGCCTCACAAATTTGGGATCAAAGCCCTCCAGGACATTACCTACATGACCTTTCTAAGTTTTCCTTTGACCACTCAAGTTTTACTCACGCCCAAAAACATACTGGTAGCTTATAGAGGCCTGGTCACAAACCTAAAACACTTTCTGCTGACAGCACAGGAAAAATTAAGCCCAGGTTTACACTGGATTCTACTCTGAAATCGTGTGACTTCACTTGAAGTCGCACGATTTTAAAGTCAGATGGAAGTGCAACTTGATAGACATCTGTGTGACTTCATGCACGTTGCACCCCAAATCAGCAAAAGTAGTGCAGGAACTACTCTTCTAATCAGTGTGACTCCGATGAGGTCAGAGTCGCACTGATTAGAACGCTTCCATTGCTAATCATTGCATGCGATTTGTTATGCGATTTGAATGGTTAAATCGCATGACAAATTTGCATCAGTGTGAACTAGGGCTAAGTATTTCTTAATGCTTACCTGCAGTGTTCTTGTTTTCAGAAATTAGATTTTATTCAATGTGTCTTTGAAACTTTTTAGAACATCTGACTGCTCCAGGAGAAGCAATCTCTAACAGCCTCCTCCCTCCTTGTATGCCAAAGCCCCCTACAAGTCATAGCCCTCTCCATTCTGTGTCTAATCACTATCTGTGCTAACCCAGCATCTCTGCCTCTCCCTTCAACTCCCTACATAATCTTTTACACAGCTGCCAAGGAAGGAGCAAAGGGAAATACTTTAAAGTAGAAGTCAAGTCAAAATCGAACTAAGCTTAAATCTACTCCCACCGCCATTCTAAGCCCTGTAGTAACTACCCTGTAAAGGAAAGATCTGTATACTTACCTAATCTAAGGACTCTCCAGTCACATGATCTACTCAGCAGCCATTGTAGTGTAGAAGAGAGAGCAGCGACAACGGCTGCAGAGCCTGGGCTGTGACATCACCCAGAGACTTACTATACAGGTAACATATATAAAATTCATCAAAGTAGATCTAAAGGCTAAACCTTTTTTCCATTTTGGATACACCAAGAGTGTTGGAACCCCTGTCAGGGTTTTTTGCCATCTGTATCCAATTGAGGTTGCTGCTCTTCAATTCCTGTCCCATAGCCAATACAGGGAGTGAGAGAAAATCCCTGCAAATTAAGGTAATCTCCTCGGGCCCCCAGAAATTGTGCCCCCATTGGAAGATTTCCCTCTATTAGAGTCCTGAGGATAACCTAAAATTTGGGATCTTTTTTAACTTTCACTTTCAATGATAATGGTAAACAAGATAAGTAGAGAAGGTAAACCTCCCACACAGGAGTAGAGGTACCAATAAAAACCATGGGTTCTAATCTCTCTATCCAAAACAAAACAGTTTTGCCTTTAGTTATACTTTAAATTCAGATATAATATTATGAGAAGACTTTTTTGTTGAAATGGTCTAGCGACAGGGTCTTTCTAAAGACCGTCTGTTACAGAGGTACTTGCACGTAATTGCGGCATCCTCTATCACCCTGCTTTGATAGCAGAATGAAGGGCCCTTTTGACAAAAAAAGTTTCAGCATTTCCTGACTGCACTGAAACTTGCCCACCCCTTCCTGCCTCCTGCACGTTCCCTTTGACAAATGAGGCAGACAATGATGGCTGTGAGCCAACATGAATGTGTGTGCCCAGCAGAAAACGGTGGCAAGTTCTGACACTACCAGGTAGCATTGGAGCTCTGCTTATCAGAATAACTAGGCATGTAGTCGTATAAGTGGGTATAAATGGCTTCTGTAGGTACAGTGCCATTAGGTGGCTGCACTTTATATCTGCAGCATTTGTTTTTTCCCAACAGGGTCTATTTAGCTGGTTTCTGATGATCTTTGCTAGAAGACTGCTGTGACTGCTTCTACATAATACATTGGCAAGGCCAAGAATTTCACTGATAATTAAACATAAGATATCAAAAAATGTTGAACAGTTAGGGCTCGTTCACACTTGACTAATTTCTAACTCTTGAGTGGAGAGGGATTAGAGAACCTGTCGGTTTTTATAGCTGTTGGTGTCCCCATTAGGGAGATTCATTCTTTTTATTTGTCCTCTTTACCACTATCCTCTAAATTGAAAGTAAAAGAAAATCCCAAATTTTGGGTTGTCCCCAGAAAAGTAATAGGAAATCTTCCAATGGGGACACTAGTTCTGGTGACCTGATTGTCCCCAAGCGATTCCCTTAATTTGCAAGGATTTCAGCTCGCTCTTGTTTTGGCTACGGGACAGGAACTGAAGATAAATCTCCCCAATGGGGCACAGATGGCAAAAAAATGAACCCACAGGGGCTATAAATGCTTCCTTACTTTATCCAAAATGAAAAAAAAAAAAACGTTTTGCCTATAGTTCTATTTTAAGAAAAAGCACAGCTTCTCGTGATTTGTTCACCTCCATGCACATGCTGACACTTCATTGAAGCCAGGTATCTAAAAGAATTATAATATCATAGAGTCCGGGGATAATTGTCATAAATATTCATGTAGCCAAATTTTAAAAAAAACAGAATTAAATGAGGCCTATACATGTATGCAAACATTCTGAATGCATACAATTAAATTGCTTTACTTACAAACAAAACATCCTCCTGATGAGACCTTGTTCGACCAGTTTTGATCTCTGCAATAACTGTGGACTAAAGGGATGAAGATATTTGCAGTGATACAATCGGGAGTCACTAGTGTAACCATGATATCCAGAGCTTAAAAAAACTGTAATAAAATACTGCTGACTTGTTGTGTGTTCCGCTCAGAATCCATGACTAATATCCACATATTTCAACACGTGTGCATGAGAGCCACTCCCATCCTATAAAACACACAGGTGGACACTACTGCTCAGGCCTGTTATATCGGTTCAGGAATGTGTTGCTATGATCATACTGCTGTGCCAGCCCCAAGTGATGTCGCCATACTATCCACATATTCTGCATATCAGTAATTTGTCACCTATTTATACAAGAGTGATACACTTTATATAGGCAATAAGATTCTATTGAGCTCTTGGGGGAGCCTTATCTAGATCACACTGGCATCATCGTCTTCTTAGGCAAAGGTGACACACTCTTAACCTGTTGCACTGAACATTTCAAGGAATAAAAGCTGTGCAGAAGAAGTGATCAAAAATTAAAAGATTTTTGTTAAAGCCAAAAAAGTGAATTGCACTGCAGTAGAAAAAAAAATATTTCCCCCCAAATGTCATTCTTAGATCTTTCTGGGATTCCAATATTAGATCTACAAAACAGTTACTAAGGTCACCAAGCCAACAGTGCTGGTGTTTTCCCCTCCTGGAAGTGTGAGGCTCCCTACACTGCACCTGGAAGACAAAGACTTAAAACTGGGGGAACAACACCAGAAAAAAACCCCACTTGAACCGCTGAAAATTATAATAAGCCAGTGTGTGCTGGTACCTTTAAAAATCTGAGCAAAACTAAAAAAAATCCCTTTTGAGCTTTCAAGCTAAACACCGATTCTTCAAACTTGTGCAATGGGTTATTAAGCGGTCAGCAGGCCTCACCTTTTGCACATTCTTCAGTTTAGGTGGTAAATTGTCTCTGATCATCTTCATTGCTTTTAGTGGAGGCTCATTGAAATATGGAGGTTCTCCATCCACCATCTCTATCACCATGATACCCAGAGACCAGATATCCACCTGTGGAAGACAATGAAGGCTGTCACAACCAGACACAAAGCTCCTTCAAAATACAATCCACAGCAACTAAGCAGAGAGCTTAGCCTCACCTCTGGCCCATAAGGTAATCGTGAGATGAGCTCTGGGGCCATCCAATAGGGCGTTCCCACCAAGGATTTCCGACGTGGAACCTCCTTGTTGACCTGGGCGCAGAAACCAAAAATCAGAGAGCTTCACCTGCAAGCAGTAAAAATAGTAAAATAGTGAAGCACATACACAACAAAAATAAGTAAAAGGTTAGTAATAAACATCATTGGTGAAAGATAACTTGCACTGCCAGACAGTTGTGATAAGACACTTAAAGCTGATCCTTTATGCAAGAACAACAGAATCACACTATTATGCTGGAACTACACCGATCAGCCATAAAATTATGACCACTGAGAGGTAAAATGAGTAACATTCATTATCTTGCTACAATGGCATCTGAAAGTAAGTGGGATATATTCGGCAGATAAGTCAATATGATGTCCCTGAAGCTGATGTGTTGAAAGCAGAAAAAATTGAGCAAGTGTAAAGATTTGAGCAACTCTGACAAGGGCCAAACTGTAATGGCTAGACAACTAGGTCCAAGGAACTCCAAAACGGCAGCACTTGTGGGATGTTTCCAGTCTATAGCGGTCAGGATCTCTCAAAGTGGTCCAAGGATAGAAAACCAGCAACAAGGTGACAGGGGTCACTGATGCACGTGGGGAGCAAAGTCTGGCCCATGTAGTTCGATACAATAAGAAGAGCTACAGTAGCTTAGATTGCTGAAAAAGTTATTGTTGGGTTTGATAGAAAGATGTCAGAACTAAGTTTGTTGTGTATGGGGCTGTGTAGATATCACGTAGTAACTGCATTTGGGACCTGTATAGATTGTCACACAAGTGCCTTTGGACGCAGATTAAAGCAGACCTTCTATGAAAAATAGAAGGTCCACTTCTCTGCCAGCCGTCCATGGCCCAAAAAAAACACTTAAAAATAAATAAAAGATTAAAAAAAAACCCCTTATTTCTTGTGAAACCTTGTAAAATCTTTATTTTTAAAGTTTAATTTATGGCTTAATTTTTGGGGGCAGTCGGGGGCTGGCAGGGTCCTGAAGAACTAAATGGAAAAAAATACAAATGGTTATTTAACAAATATTTTAGTGTTGTCTTTTTTCAAGCCAGCAGATGGTGCTCCAAGCTTCTTTAATTGCACTCTCCACCTACTAGGTGTGTAAAAGTGTGCTGGTTGCAGATAAACAGACCAGGGATTGCTGGTTAGGGTTCATGTACACTGCAGCTGATAAACTGACTTTCAGGAGCTGTTCAGCATGTTTTTCAGTGGCCCTTGAACTCTCCCTAATGGTTTCCTATGTGTCCATGTACACAGTCGTTTACAGGCAGTTGAGTTTACAGTTGTTTTTTTTAACACACCCAAACTTGCGTTGCAGGAGTAGATTTTATCAGCGTTTCAACACTTGTAAATGTGGCTAACCGTGTTTATAAGCGTTTTCGTTTAGAAGCGTTTTTTAACTGTTACATATCCAAATGTTGTCCAAAGCCTTTTTTCATCATCAGAAATGCATGCAAAGCATTTTCCATGTATTCAAATGGACCTAGTAGACCAGCGCAGTCAGTTCCAGGTTTTGCGTGAAGGGAAAAATGGTAGAACGTGCCGCATTATGCTCATGATGGGATCCATAGTGAATACAACCAGAAAAGACAGGTCATCTCAACACATACTGCTCTCTCTGCTTCTCCTCTCTCGATTTCTCTCAAAATGTCTGAAATAGTTCATTTTGTTACTTTTTTCAGTGCATTCTGGGCATTTTGGAAGGTCTCCTGAGGTTATCTTAAAAAAACTATTCTAAACGCAAACACGCATAAACGCGGAATGCAAACGCGGCTAAACAGACGTTCTTTAACCTATGTTTTTCCAGCAGTCAGTTTCCATTGTTCAGAAGAGTTTTTCAAATGTTCCGTGTACATGGAGCCTTAAACATCCTTCTATTAGACACTTGAGAATACTGAGCCGTTTATTATATTTAGAATATCTTGTGCTGTTAAAGAGGAACTTCAGCCTGGGACTACTCAATGATATGCCATTTTACATTGTGGATGGGGAACACGATAACCAGTCCTAATTATAATGTACAGCGCTGAGCGAACTATTGGCGCTTTATAAATACTGTATTATAATAATAATAATTATAGACAGAGCAAGGTTTGCTCCCCAAGTGTTCGTGGGGGGGGGGGGGGTGCCGGACTGCTGGACACCTGGCATATTGCTTTGCTTGAGAGAACCACAGTCTAAATCACCCATGTGCTGGCAGCACATTTTAACCCTTACGGCAGCACTTGCAGTGTAGAGCAGGAAAAGGTCGAACAGCCACATGTGTATTACTGTACAGTATATGCAGCCTGACTGCATTACAGTAACAAACAAGGTTTGCTGGGTTTCAATAGTCACTACTTGTCAGAACTCTTAACATAATAAATGAACCTTAATGTGGAAGCTCAGACAAATCTTTTATTTTCAGATAAAACAGTTAACATATCTGCAAGGTTTTTACAAATATCTTTAATTTGACCAGAACACTAATGAAAAAAAAATGTGGCTGATGTTCACACTAAACAAGTGATTAAACACCCTGTGCATCCACCACACACAGACAGCACCTTACCCGTCCATCGTGTGTCAGCAGAATAGAATCACTTTTAATGTCTCGGTGGATTACTCCTTGGGCATGAAGTACACACAAAGCCTTCAGTACAGCCACACAAACAGCGGCTATCTGTTCTTCATTCATTCTGAAAATAGAGAAAGTCCATCAATAACCAGTCCTTAAAAGGCAAAAACCTTAATTATTTTGTAACTCTTTATTTCAGTCACAACACAGACAGTTGAAGAATTACATACTGTATATTCTATCGAGTCATACATGACTCATTAAACAAAGGCATTCCCATAAAGGAAAACATAAATCACAGCAAGTATACCTTCATTCTTTCAGCAGTGCTTCAGGGATGGATCAGAGCAATGCTCTGTGCCAGTGCTGACCAATCAGAATCACTCTGATCTGTCCCGGAAGTGCTGCAGAAAGAAGAGGGAGAAGTGCGGGGTTTTCCAATCCCCAAACCGTAGGCATGGACAGCTCATCATCCAAAGAAATATTGACAGTGAGAACCAGGAGGGTGTACGGTGTTTGTTCACTTTTTTATTGTTGCAAAAGTATTGCATAAACATACTTGTGGGGGGAAAAAAAATCTTCTTTAACCTTAACGAAGCAAGGTTTTATAGCCCCACCTACAGGAGTAGGACACTAGGCAGAAAAAAAGACTTCCACCTCCTATGGGCAGTCCCCTCTGGGTATAAAACCCCTTCTCTGCTACAGGTCTCTAGTCTGTCACAAGCAGCATCAAAGGAGAGATCCCTCTAGAGGGGTGGGTGCTGTGTCCGTCAATGAACGCCGAGATAGAGATTTTACAGCGAGTACAAAAAAATCCCATTTTCTTTTACGTTCACTGACGGAAACAGCGGATTATTTTTTACTTTAACGAAGCAGGGATGTCCCCAAGCAGTGCCAGAATGAGGGGAGGGCAACCATACAATGTAAAAAGAAAGAACACTCAGGGCAACAAGCCAACACTCTGAACGACCCCAAAAGGAGAGGCCCAGGAGACAGAAACAGCCGCCTACAACACTTTGCAGCCAAAACTAGCATCAGAGGATTCCAACACATCAGTTTTACAGAACTTCGTAAAGTTATGCACAGATGACCAGGTTGCCGCCTTGCAAACCTGAGAAACAGATGCCTGATCTCGAAAAGCCCAGGAGACGCTAAGCGCTGTAGTGAAGAGCGTTGTAACAGGGAAGGGAGGCTCCTGCCCCTTAAAAGCATACACCTGAACAATCGGCTGCCGAATCCAATGAGAAATAGTGTCAGAAGATGCTACCAGGCTATTCTTCAGACCATCCGTGTGGATGAAGAGAGAGTCTGACCTCCGAAAGGCAGCAATTACAGACAAGTCACGCGAATCGAGCAGACCACATCCAGGGAATACAGAGCCACCTCTTTAGGGTGCGTCCCTTGAGGACAATACCCTCATTCAAATGAAAATCTCATACCACCTTCAGAAGAAAGGTTGGGGAAGGCTGAAGCACCAACTTGTCCTTGTATAAAACCATATAACGCAGCTTACAGGACAAAGCTGCCAACTCCGATATCCTCTGAGCTGAAGTGATAGCGACAAGGAAGGCAACCTTTTGCAAAAGCATAAGCAAGTGGATTTCCCAAATGGCCTCAAATGGAGGCCTCTGAAGAGCAGACAGCACCAAATTTGAATCCCACGGTGTTGAAGGGGCAGGCACAGGAGGGGCCACGTGATGAGCCCCCCTGAATGAAAGTACAGACCAAAGAATGGTAGCTAAGGGCCGCAGAAAGAAAACAACCAGAGCAAAGACTTAACCCTTGATTGTACTCAACTCAAGCCTTTGGGACCCTTACTGTTTAATATATTTATAAACAATATAGGGTCTGAGAGATTAAAAATCCCATTTCAGTCTTTGCAGATGACACAAAGCTGTGGTCAACACTCGAGCCACAGTGAAGGAACATAGATGGAACCTCAAGGCTTCACACCAACCAATATAGGCTCTCCAGGTGCGATGATAACTTTTCCGGGGAGGTAGACTTATGGGCCTTCAACATAGTCATGGATTCATGAAAGACAGAAGTTGCCAAACAAATCTGATTTCTTTTTATGAGGGGGTGAGCAAAACCTTGGACAGAGGGGTGGCGGTGGACGTGGTATACTTGGATTTTGCATTTGCAAAAGCGTTTGACACAGTTCCCCACACACGGCTAATGTGTAAGGTAAAGTCTATGGGCTTGGAAAAATCCATATGTAAATGGATAGAAAACTGGCTAAAAGATCGTATTCAGAGAGTAGTGGTTAATTATTCATACTCTGAATGGTCTAGGGGTGTCAGTGGTATACCCCAAGGTTCAGTGTTGGGACCCTTACTTTTTAATATATTTATAAACAATATAGGGTCTGAGATTAAAAATCCCATTTCAGTCTTTGCAGATGACACCAACCTGTGCAGTGGAATAACGTCCTTACAGGATGTCTTCAATTTACAAGCTGACCTCAATGCACTGTTTAATTGGGCAACTATGTGGCAAATTGATATTGTGTGATATTTAATGTTGATAAATGTAAGGTTGTGCACTTGGGGGCTAAGAATATGCATGCATCATACATACTGGGAGGTGGGGTACAACTGGGGGAATCAATGGTGGAGAAGGATCTGGGGGTTCTGGTAGATCACAAGCTTAATAATTGCATGCAATGCCAAGCTGTGGCTTCTAAAGCGAGCAAAATCCTCTTGTATTAAAAGAGGTATAGACTCCAGAGAGAGAGATATCATATTACCCCGGTACAAATCATTAGCAATACCTCATCTGGAATATGCAGTTCAGTTTTGGGCACCATTTCACAAAAAGAATATTGGGGAACTTGAGAAAGTACAGAGAAGGGCAACTAAACTGATACGAGGCATGGAGGAGCTCAGCTATGAGGAAAGATTAGAGGAACTGAATGTATTCTCTCTTGAGAAGAGGAGATCAAGGGGGGGGGATATGATCAACATGTATAAATACATCAGTGGTTCATGTAGTGAACTCGGTGTAGAGCTATTCACCTTGAGGCCATCACAGAGGACAAGGGGGCACTCTAAATCTGGAAGAAAAGAGATTTAATCTCCAAACATGGAAAGCTTTCTTCACAGTGAGAGCTGTGAAAATGTGGAATAGACTCCCTCAAGAGTTGGTTCTGGCCAGCTCAGTGGATTACTTTAAAAAAGGCCTGGATTCTTTCTTAGATACACAGAATATAACTGGATACTAACATTTATAGGTAAAGTTGATCCAGGGAATATCCGATTGCCTCTCGGGGGGGATCAGGAAGGAATTTTTTTTCCTTGCAAGAGCAAATTGGATCATGCTTTGCTGGGTTTTTTGCCTTTCTCTGGATAAACTGTGGGTATAGGATTATAACTTTTTTTTTTTCTTCTATGGTTGAACTGGATGGACTTTTGTCTTTTGTCAGCCAGACTAACTATATAACTATATATAGTCAGAATCACAGAAGCAGACAACCCACTGTTCTTCAGAACCTGGCTCTTAACAGCCACGCCATCAAAGCCAGCGACAGTAAAGCAGGGTGGAAGACCGGCCCTTGAGAAAGGTCTTTCCGAAGAGGCAGCCTTCAGGGAGAATCCGCCACCAAACGCACCACATCGGCATACCATGGACAACGAGGTCAGTCTGGAGTAATGAGGATGACTGGGATACCTTCGGTCTCTATCTTGCATAGTAGACAAGCAGTAAGTCGAAGGGGTGGGAAGGCACAGATGAGAGTGTACTGGTCCCATGGCTCCACCAGCGCATCTGCTGCATCTGCCAGGGGATCCAACGATTGTGCCACGAACTGTGGAACCTTACGATTGAGGCGTGAAGCTAGGAGATCCACGTCCGGAGTGCCCCAATAAATGCAGAGCAGATGGAACACTTCTGGATATAGGGACCATTTGCCCTGATGCAGCGTCTGATGGCTGAGATAATCTGCTTGCCAGTTTCTGACGCCTGGAATGTGGACGGCGGACAGAGCAGCAGCGTTGCCTGACTGAATCCTGGTCAGCAGACCCGACAGACGGTCCGTCCAATGCGTCCATGACAACCTGATCGCTCAAAGCTCCAGGATATTGATGGTAAGTTAGCTTCCCCCAGAGTCCATCACCCCTGTCATGACCACAGTCCAGCAAATGTGGAGGAAAGACTTTCCATGCTGTAGAGCCTGGGAACTCATCTACCAAAGAAGGGAGGCCTTTCCAGGTGAATTTGAAGGTCCAAGAAGGCAGAAGCCCTGTTCCTTTTCAATAGGATTTCCCTTTGTATTGTTCTCATATGAAATTGGGCATACGGGATCGCTTTGAAAGTAGCCACCATCAAGCCTATGCAAAGACGCAGATAGAGCTGCCTACAAGCCAGGAGCTGCCAAACTGCTGACCAGAACTTTAACAATTTCTCTGACGGAAGGAACACCTTGGCCTGCTCCGAATTGAGAATCAGCCCCAGATACTCCATTCAACATCAACTTCCTGAGTTTCAGATTCTACCTGAAGTCCCATAGAGAACGCATGGTGATTTCCACACTGCCTAATAATGAGGAGCGAGTCTCCGCACGCAGGAGCAAATCATCCAGGTAGCCGATATCACTGCAATCCCCTGTTGTCTCAATAAGGTCAGGACTGGGGCTAGGACCTTGGTAAACACCCGAGGTGTGGAGGCCAGACCAAAGGGCAAAGCTAAGAATTGATAATGCACGTCCCCGATGGCAAAACGAAGGAAGCGCTGATGCCCCTTGCAAATGAGGATGTGCAGGTAAGCGTCCTTGATGTCTCAAGGAGGGCAGGAAATCTCTCTGGTGGAGGGAGGCCACCACTGAGTGAAGAGATTCCATCTTGAACTTGTGAACCTGCACAAAGAAATTCAGGACCTTGAGGTCCAGGATTGGACGAACCCCTTCTGCCTTGGGAACAGTGAACAGGTTGGAGTAGAAGCCACGAAAACGCTCCAAATCGGGTACTGTGACGACCACTCCATGGAGCAGCAGTTCCTGCACAGCCCCCATGGACCCGGAAACCTGTGAAGATGCTCCCCCACCCTGGAAGCGGATGGGAGCAAACCTTCATGCTGAAGGAGACTTATCAGTGGACTTGGAGGACTTCTGGGGCCAGGGTTGCTTGGTGCCAACTGTGGGGGCCTTAAAGGGATTGGAGGCCCTTGGCTGCAGAGCAGGAAGGGCGAAAAATAGGTTTATGTGCCGTAAACGTTGGCCCCCAACTTTCAACGAGGTTCCTTCCCCTTCTTGGCGTGAAGGAAGGAAGGTAGTCTTGCCTCCAGTAAGGTTCTTGATGATGTCATCCAGGGTAGCTCCAAAAAGTCGGTCGCCCAGAAAGGGCAGGTCTGCCAGAGCATTCTTGGAGGTCTGGCCTGCCAATCAACACTTGAGCCAAAGGACCCGCCAGAGCACAACGGTCAAGATGGACAGTTTGGAAAGAATCATCAAGGGCGGCGTCACAAATATATTTTAAGTCCTGGACCAACTGGTCTGCTAGCTCCACATATGCTTGGGGTAACTGACTAGAAGTCAAGCCTTGTCGTAGAGCCTTGGCCCATTCCGTCAGTGTCTGGGAGACCAAGGCCGTAGCCAACACTGGCCTAAGTGCCGATCTGGCGACCGTGAACAGTGAACGGGCCACCACCTGCGCCCTGCAGTCCGCAGGGTCCTTAAATGAGGGGGGATTCCTCCACAGGAATCAACGTGGTCTTGTTAAGCCTGGAGATGGGAGGATCAACCACCGGCGGAGGTGTCCACTTCTTCAGCAGGGTCTCCTCAAAGGGATAACGCACTGCAAAGTGTTTGAGAAGCACAGACGCTTCGGCCTACTCCAATCCCTATAAACAAATCTGTCAAAATAGTCAGGGTAAAAAAAAAACCTTAACAGTCCGAACTGGCTTGTGCGTACCAAAAGGAACAGGTGCCACATCAGCTGACCTGGCAGGGTTCTCAATCTTTAGCGTTTCACGCACCGAATCAATAAGTCCTGGTACCAATGCCTTTTCCTGTGTGGCAACAGAGGCAGAGGACCTGTCCTCCTCTTTCGAGGAAGCAGGGGATGCGTCCTCAGAATCCGCTGTAAAATGCAGAACCCACGGCGGCAGGATCTGGTTCGGTCTTAGAATTGTCCCAGAATGGCAGGGGGAGTTTTTTGCTCACCTTGCGACCAACTGCCGCTTCCACACGTGACACAAACGCCTCCAAGACGGCAGACAATGCATCTAGGGGGACCGAGGGACCTCCAGAGGGGGCCCCGGAGGTGCGGCATGCTCCTGAGCTTCCATGGGACCAGTCCCCCAACTAGACACCGCCGCAAGAAGGGGACCCAGATGCTCCAAGTATAGAAGACCACCCCAGTAGAGAGAAAGAAGAAAGACAGACCTCCAGGGAGAACTACCGCCAGGAGCTGCCATGGTGCCCACATGTCCCGTAGTCTGTCTCGCACAGTGTGTGTGTTGAGCACTGCATCCACAAGCCTGAGGTGCCTGAGGGAATCCCTGCCGCAGGCTATTAAAAAATGACTGTCAAAGACCTCCCCCTGCTGGTATCCATCGGTTGATAGCCACGCAGCGCAGCGCACCCCCTCCCCCCCCCAAAAAAAAACAACTGGCTGCCGGACGAAAATCTCCAGAAAAATGGCCACTGTTTCTGGCACTAGAGGATGGAAAACCTCCAAGAAAATGGCCGCTACGACTACAACAACATGGGCCTTGGTCATCCCAGCCACATGCGACACGCTCTGCACCCCCCCCAATTCAGGCAGGCCTGCAAACCATAATGGACACCATCCCCCACAGCAAGACAAGGGTCAGACTGGGGTGACCACTGGATCTAAATTATCCAGCCGTTGCCCAGCCCGAGCTGGGCGACTGTTGGTAGAAGATCTCTGCAGAAACACAAAAGTCCAGGAAAAAAAGAAAAGGAACAGTTGTGGAACTACAAGTCCCAGCAAAACTTCACATTCATACTCCTGAGACATTAGGCAGAAAAGACTGGAGACCTATAGCAGAGAGGGGATTTTATACCCAGAGAGGACTGCCCAGAGGAGGTGCCAAGTCTTTTTTTTCTGCCTAGTGTCCTACTCCTGTAGGTTTGGGCTATAAAACCCTGCTTCGTTAAGGGTAAAGAAGAAGCCGCTGAGTCCGTCAATGAACATAAGAGAAATAGGCAATATATTTCCCTGACTTCCATAGTGCAGAGGGTGGAATCATCCTGCTCCTAGACAACAGCTCTGGCAATGCAGAGTAGCCCAAAACTTGCAAGAAGACACAACAGTATAGCACAAGATCCTCTACTCGTGGAATGTGGGCTACTCAGCATTCTGAGATCTGCCTAGAAGAAGGATGGCGTTTCCCTCATCTACACACTGCAGGAGGAAGTCAGGGTAAGTGAACTATTTGTCCCCCACAGGTACTTTTATATACGGTAACATTTTAGGGAAGAAGCCAACTTCAGTAAGTGGACCCTGCCTCTGAGGGTTTTCATACACTTTAAGACAGTTACAGAAATGGGAAACTGTATAAAAAAAAGATTATTTGAGAAAGACTGTACATCTAATGATGATGGGAAAGTGTATAGCTGAAGACTACTTAGGAAAAAGCCGCATCTTTGCATCTGCTGCCCACGGGCACTGGCCTTCCAGTAAATCTGGTCGTGCCCACAGTATTCTGTTTTAAACAAAGCATTCTATTTATCTTTAAAATATTTAAGAAGCTATTCAGCATTTCCAGTTGATGGTGTGAAAATGGTTACCCTGTTTAATAACTGGGGTGTAATTTGCTGATAAGAAAAGACAGGCAGTTGAAGAATTGAAGGGAGGAAGTCATCATTGGTGTCGATATGAAAAAGAAACAATTTTCTCGTTTAAGACATTGAACTATAAAGTCAGTGGTAAATTAGCAGGCATCCTATCTGTGGATAACGGGAGTCCTGGGTTCAATACACATCAGGAACACTGTCTGCACAGGCACCAGATATCCAATGTAGCAGAGATGCCAACACATCTCTACTACACAGTATAAATTTTAGTTAAATCTTAGACTGTAGTAAGGACTTTAGGAGCTAAAAGTGAATACCCCTATATAGTCTGCAAAGCTGTGCAGTGTACATTAGCTATAGATACAGGAAATCAGTCATTTTTACCAATATCAAGTGCATAATTGAGCCTAGAAGGAAAGCACATTACTACATTAGACTACATTGTATTACTGTGCTGGTACCTGGTGTGTGTGACAATGTCAGTGAGGGCCCCTCCTTCTAGGAACTCCATAACCACCCACAGCTCATCCCCCACCAAGTAGCTGTTGTACATTTCCACCACATTTTCATGCTGGTAATCTCGCATTATCACCACCTGCGGAGAACAAGAAATTGTTAATGCTACATATGAGGCTGTATATGAAACATCGGTTAACAAAGGAAGCAGTCTTTCCATATTTACTAACAAATGGTTGTGTATTGGGTAAACAAATGGTCACAATACACATAAACTGAACTGAAAATACATGAGAAACATACATGTAAGCGTTTGGTGGCAATAATCCACTTACAATGAACTCAATATACATATACAGTAAGCATTATGCATAAACACACTCACAATTAGGCTTTACGCTTTTCTTACGCAAACCTGACCTGGCATACAAAGTAAAGTGGTTGTAATCTTTTACAAATACTCAAGGAAGGGACTGGCCTCAGGTGACACCTACAGATGAAACAAATCCTTCTACATAAGTTGTACCTGTCTATCTGCACTCTTCTCTTCATGTGTCCAAAGTGCTGAATGTATAACGCTTGTCTGAGGGTTCAGGAAAAAGGGGGCAGAGAGCTGAAATTAAACACTGCAGAGCTCAATGAGGAGAGCTCTGAGAGCTGATTGGAGGTAAGGGACACACCCACCTTCACACAACACACAGTAAAAGAGCTGAAGCTGTTAATCTGCTAGAGGTCCCTCCCCAACACCATTTTTCTCTTGGTGTCAGGAAAACGTATCAGAAGTGCTTCATGCTGATAGCAGAGGAGCAAGGTAGCATACAGAAATTACACTTAGTACTCTGGATTCAGACAAGTACACACTAGAACAGTGGTCTCCAAACTGTGGCTTGGGGGTTAGATGCCATCCCTTGCTTGCCTTTACCTGGCCCTTGGGGCACTTTACCTCCCCTTGATACGAGACACTATTCCTCCCACTAACATCAACAAAGGGGCATAATTCCTGCTACCGACATAGCGAACGGGCACTATTCCTTCTACTGACACCAATGATGGGGCACTATTTCTCCCACTGACACCAACAATGGGGCACAACTCCTACTGACACCAATGATGGTGCACTTTTTCTCCCACTGACACCAACAATGGTGTGTGCTATTCCTCCCCCTAATACCAAAGATGCATTGTCTATTCCCACTGACGCCAGGACCATTTCTATTCCCAATGTCCACAGTCCGGCCTCCCTAAAGTCTGAAGACCAGAAAACTGGCCCTTTCTTCAGCAAGTTTGGAGATCCCTGCTCTAGAGGGATAAGCTTTGTTCATATTTCATCTGAGGTTTACAACCAGTTTAAAGTATATATAGAGTAAAATTGTTTTTTTCTTCGGGTAAGAATACACCTGTCCGGTTTTCAGCCCATTATGTCCTATTCGGGAGATAAGAGGAAATTCCTAAAAAATGAAGGGAAATGCTCTTTAGGCCCCATTCATAGTGTTTTGTAGAGCAAAGCTTGAAGGTCCAAAACACTCTGCCAATTCGGTACCTTGATTTGGCAGATTGGTGCTTTTCTAAGCTCTTTTTCCCCATTATAAATTAGTTGAAACACGCAAATCACACGTTTTTCTGCTAAGTACAGTGACCTCCCCACCAAGAATGACCAAATATTGTCGGGAAATAAAAAAAAAAAAAGCAATTTTAGCCAGTAATACCAAGATAGATGGAGGAGATAGTGTCTCTTTTCGATCCCGAGACTGTTACCCGGACGGTGAGGGAGCACCCCACCTTTACGATCATCAGGACTCCTGTTACAAGTCCCAAGCAAGCAAGTTGAGGGGCATGGGACTGGATTGACACTTTATGATCTCCCTCCCTGGTTGCAACCTGTGTATTAATTTGCTTAATCAGGGGGTCCCTTTACAGCCTACCTAATGGCCCCTGCCCCCCTCTCACCCCCTCGAAGAAAATAATAAAGCCATATGTTATGCCTAGAAATATGCACAAACCATTATTAATGGCAGCATGAACCCAGTATTTTCATGTCCTCCTGCTCTCTCTACTTCTTCCATTTGGAAATATTACATCACTGTGGTGGACGCCATGAAGAATGTCATTCATTCCATCATTGTTTAGAGAACAGAAAGCACCAGAGAACACAGTGCAAACCAGAAAGGAAATGAGAATAACCCAGAAAGCAAAAACACATAGTAACAAATTATGTCACAGATATTTTTCTGCACTGGGTAATACAAAATGTCTGAGCGCCAAAACACTTGAAATTGCTATAACAAAACACGCAATATATATATTTATTACACACATACATATACACACACACATATATATTTATTACACACACAGCATGTATACTAAATATTGAACATGTTACCATTTTTCTAGATAAATATATTTCTGAAGGTGCGATTGACATGATATTTTCACCACATATCAGTAACAACCCATGCAATCCATTCATACAAAGAAACCAAAACAAATAAGTTCAGAAATTAAGTTATGTGAAATAAAATGAAATGAAGTTATGTGTAATAAAATGGAATGACACAAGGAAAACGTATTGAACACCTGAAGAAAGGGAGGTGCAAAAAGGCATGGAAAGCCAAGACACCAGCTGAAATCTATCAGTAATTAGAAAGCAATCCTGCCTCTTGTCAGTGCAAATTAATATCAGCTGGTTCAGTCTCAACTGATTGCCTATAAAAAAGGTGTTTCATTACCAAGGTGTCACATAAGAAATATCTCATGATGGGTAAAAGCAAAGAGCTCTTTCAAGACCTCCGCAACCTTATTGTTGCAAAACATACTGATGCCATTGGTTACAGAAGGATTTCTAAACGTCTGAATGTTCCAGTGAGCACTGTTGGGGCCATAATCTGGACGTGGAAAGAACATCATTTGACCAAAAACCAGCCACGGCCAGGAGCTCCTCGCAAGATTTCTGACAGAGGAGTGAAAAGAATTATCAGAAGAGTTGTCCAAGAGCCAAAGACCACTTGTGGAGAGCTTCCAAAAGACCTGGAATTAGCAGGTGCAACGGTTTCAAAGAAAACAATAAGTAATGCATTCAACCGCCATGGCCAGTATGCACACTCACCACTCAAGAGTCCATTGCTAAAGAAAAACATGTAGAAGCTCATTTAAAATTTGCGGCACAACATTTAGAGAAGCCTGTGAAATACTGGGAGAATATAACCTGGTCAGATAAGAGCAAAATTTTATATTTTGGATGCCATAATACACACCATTCATGGAGGTCAAATGGTGCTGCACATCACCCCTAAAACACCATACCAACAGTAAAGTTTGGAGGTGGGAACATCATGGTGTGGGGATGTTTTTTTCAGCATATCATTGAAGGAAGGATGAATGGAAAATGTACCAAGACATTCTTGACAAAAATCTATCATCTACCAGGATGATGAAGATGAAACGAGGGGACATTTCAGCAAGACAATGATCCCAAACACAAAGCCAAAGAAACTCTCACTTGGTTTCAAAGAAAGAAAATAAAGCTGTTAGAATGGCCTAGCCAGTCACCTGACTTGAATCCAATAGAAAATCTATGGAAAGAACTAAAGATGAGAATTCATAGAAGAGGCCCACAGAACCTTCAAGGTTTGAAAACAGTTTGTGTGGAAGAATGGGCCAAAAATCACACCTGAGCAATGCATACGCCTATTATCTCCATAAAGAATGTGTCTTGAAGCTGCCATTACCAACAGGATTTTGTACCAAGTATTAAGTAAATTTTAGTTAGCGTGTTCAATACTTCTTCCCTGTGTCATTCCATTTTATTACACATAACTTAAATTCTGAATTTATTTGTTTGGTTTCTTCTATGTATGAATTGCATTGGTTGTTACCAACATGTGGTGAAAACTTCATGCACCTTTAGAAATATATTTACTGAGAAAAATGGTGACGTGTTCAACATTTATTTTACCTGCTGTATATATGTATATAAACACTTACTATGAGACTGTAAGCTCTAACAAGCAGGGCCCTTCTGATTCCTACTGTATGAAATTGTATTGTAAATGTACTGTCTGCCCTCATGTTGTAAAGCGGTGTGCAAACTGTTTACGCTTTATAAACCCTGCATTATAATAACAATGACTAGAACGTGAAAAAATACGCAGTGCAGTTCTAAACAAATACACTAGGGGTCATTGCTGTCCTAGGCAACATCCAGAACATCAAAACAATTCTAACATCCTAATACAAAATTCATTATTTACATCAGTGCCTCAAATCACCAAGGTGTAATTCCTGACCAAAGGTAAAAGGAAAACTGGGCCTGAGCCAGCCCCTCCTCTGTGACTTGTGGACTCATGTTAGCACCAGTACACAGTGATATTCAATTCAATATTATCCCCTCTCTCCATTCCAAAAAGTGCCCAAATAGCAATTCTGCTGGCACCTGATCTATCTATACTGGAACCTTTGCAGCTCAAAAGAGAAAAAAATTCAGGTACGTATAACCTAATACAGCGTTTTTCAACCACTGTGCCGCGGCACACTAGTGTGCCATGAGATATTGTCTGGTGTGCCGTGGGAAAAATTGCCTCGGCTCACAAATAGACGGGCAAACTACGGCCCGCGGGCCGTATACGGCCCGGCGGACCTTTTAATCCGGCCCACGGAGCGTGATACTGTCAGGATGATCTGTCCCCCTCGACGTATCTGCGCATGTGCCGGAGATTGCCGATCGGCTGCTAATGCCTGAAACTGGCACATGCGCAGATACGTCGAGGGGGACAGATCCTCATAGGAGACCTACACCGGAACGGCGAGAGGAACGCGCGGCGCAAAGGTAAGTGAATTGACACAGGGGGGGCTTGGGGACTTAATATGGGGGATGAATTAATATGGGGAATGAATTACTATAGGGGGGATGAATTACTATATGGGGGATGCATTACTATGGGGGATGAATTACTATGGGGGATGTATTACTATGGGGGATGAATTACTATATGGGGGATGAATTACTATATGGGGGGTGAATTACTATATGGGGGGTGAATTACTATATGGGGGATGAATTACTATGGGGGATGAATTGCTATAGGGGGGATGAATTGCTATAGGGGGGATGAATTACTATGGGGGATGAATTACTATGGGGGATGAATTACTATATGGGGGATGAATTACTATATGGGGGGTGAATTACTATGGGGGATGAATTACTATATGGGGGATGAATTACTATGGGGGATGAATTACTATATGGGGGATGTATTACTATGGGGGATGAATTACTATATGGGGGGATTAATTACTATGGGGGATGAATTACTATATGGGGGAGATGAATTACTATGGGGGATGAATTACTATGGGGGATGAATTACTATATGGGGGATGAATTACTATGGGGGATGAATTACTATGGGGGATGAATTACTATATGGGGGATGAATTACTATATGGGGGATGAATTACTATATGGGGGCTGAATTACTATATGGGGGATGAATTACTATGGGGGATGAATTACTATGGGGGATGAATTACTATGGTGGATGAATTACTATATGGGGGATTAATTACTATGCTTACTATGGGGGAATATTACTATACTTACTATGGATGACACATACACATCATTCATCTACTCTTGGTCCGGCCCCCGGGTCCAATTATAAAATACTTTATTATTTCATAATAAAGTAATTATAAAATAATTTCTTTGTGTTTGATTCCTATTCAAGAGAATTACTTTATATATAGTCAATATAGGCACAGAGGTAAATTTTTTTAACATTTTCTAATGGTGGTGTGCCTCGTGATTTTTTTCATGAAAAAAGTGTGCCTTTGCACAAAAAAGGTTGAAAAACACTGACCTAATATGATGCCAAGTTTACCTCGATCATCTAAGAAGCACAATTATTCTTTGTGTAGACAGGCTCTAACTCTGTATGAATGCCTGGTTCACACTAGTGTGATTTCAGTCGCACAGAATCACGTAACAATGGAAATCACATGGTTTTTAGTTTTTTTTAATAGTGACCATTCACATCAATGCAACTCAGCATGGCACAATTTTGGAAAAGGGTTCTGTAGTACTTTGGAGTGATTCCAACATGATTTTGGAGTCATAGAATACACAAACAAAATCCAATACGCAACCAAGTCACACTACATAATTGCATTGTAAGCGGTAAAGTGTATAAAGACTTGCCTCATTAAACAGAAGCTCCCTCCTCTGCTGCTTCCGCAGATCCATCTTCTTGACAGCAACAAGTTTCCCAGAACTCCTGATAGTGGCAATACAAACAATCCCTGTGGAGCCCTCCCCAATTTTGATGAAGTTATCCAGATAGGACCTGGGATCTCCAGGGTCCACCACCATCTGCAGTGCTGCTCTGAACTGCTCATGTGACACCCGCTGAGGCTCTCTCTGTGGCGATCGAGGCTGTGCAGGGTGCTGTGGCTGCTGTGGGGGGCGAGAAAGTTGTGGGTCAGAGCTGTGCTGGGAGAGGCTGGCCTGAGATGGTTTCTCTGGAGGCTTAGGCTTGGTCTGGCCTGGCTGTGGCCGAGAAGAGCCTCTGTTTGCAGGGTTTTTAGGGTCAAGGGGTACAGTGGAACGGGAATCCTGGATCTAGGGAAAAAGAGAACAAAGAATTATTAAAATATATATCAAGAATAAAAAAAAAAAAAAAATTATATATATAATCTGCTTTTAGAGTAATGACTGTAATCTCTAGTCATTAACGCAGAACTCCAGCAATCTTGCAGTTTTACAGGCTGCTCTCCTGTACTGACATTGCTTACTCTGATGTCACTGCATACTATGAGCTTTTCATAATGTGCATTAGAAGCTGCAACAAATCAGATAGAGCCCACCTCATTTCCTGGCTGGAGCACATCTAACATCATCTAACCATTTCCTCCACAGCCTGACTGTCACTGACCTGCCCCTTTCATTCACTGGACTTCAGTTCTTTCAATCATAGAAGGCTTAGCATCTTCATGTTAATACAGCTTGCCTAAAAATGCCCACTCCTCCAGAATTACATCCACCCAACAAGGTGTTCTAAATTTTGCAAAACTCCTCCCAAGATCGTGAGCACTGCTTGCACCATAGCTGAGGACTCTATAGAGAAGAGAACTGAGGCAGGGTGCTCTGATGTTTTCAGGAAGCGATGTTACCAAAGCCCCTGAACTCAACTCAATAAAAGCCTACGTGTCCATGCACACATAGGCTCTTACCACTGTGTAGGAGCAGCACAGGGTAGAAGCAGTTAAATGTATCTCTCTTGAACACAGAAGAATCAAGTTCAGGAGAGGAACATTTTGTCCAAAAAGCCCCAACCACGGCAAAAAACACGTGCAAACACGCCTAAGCGCTAGAGCATTTATTCATTTTAATGTCAAGTACTCTGGCCAATTAAATGTTCAAGCGCTAAATGCGGCAAAACGCAGCTAAACATGGCACCAAGTTTACAAGTGTTTTGCTGCCAGTAAGGTTAACGTCAAGCAGTTCCAGTATGCATGTAGTCTAATGATTGAATAAGATCCAGGCTCAGACAGATCAATAATTATTTGAGCTTATACCTTTATATCTTTCTTAACTGTGACGGATTTCATTAAACTAATCCTTGAAAAGAAGAGTAAACAGTACAGAAAACAGTACAAGGATTCAGTTCAAAGAATTCCAGATATGGTGTAATTTTACAGTTACATTGGGCTAGCTTGGATCTATGTGACTATGTATATACCATACCTGGCCAATGCTTTTGGAAGCTGGAAATCACTGAAGGAGACACTGCTACTCTAGTGATCTCCACTTGCTTCCAGGTCCCACGCTGAGTGGGGGTCCTTCTGTAATGTGAACACAGGCGGTTGGATGCTCTGGCGCACCATTTAAAGAATGCTTTGCATATTTTGGAATCAATGTAAAGCATTCTGATTACACAAGCTGGAGAGGCGAGGCAGTGAACGGAGCCCATACTGCATGGTCAACCTCCTGTGTTCACAATGCAGCAAGCCAGTCGCTCAGCATGGGACCTGGAAAGCAAGTGCATTTCATTGGAGAATTGGGGTCTACCTTTAGCAATTTCAGCTTCCAGGGGCATTGACCAGGTATGGTATATACAAAATTACACTGGTCCAAGCTGGACCAATGTAACTATGTAAAAATATACCATAACTGGAATTCTTCTTCAAGTCAAGACTATTTTAGGGAATATGTTATGTTGGGGTTAGGGTCAGGAATTAGGCTGACTTGTTTAAATTCTAAGGTTAATGTTAGGTTTTAAAATGGTTGTAAAGGCAGAATGTTTTTTACCTTCATGTAATCTATGCATGAAGGTATAAAACCTTCTAAGTGCAGCTTCCCTTCAGCTGCCCTCATACTTACCTGAGCCCAATGCAGTAACGTGCACGAGAGCTGAGGCTTTCCCGGCTCTCTCATTTCTCACTGGCTTAAAGACTGCAGCAGGAGCCATTGGCTCCTGCTGTTGTCAATAAAAGCCAGTGAGGAGAGAGCAGGGGGCGGGGCCGAGACATGCTCTGTGTGTCTTATAGACATTAAGTGGCGGCTTGGGAGCAAGCCTGCAGCAGTGTCTCCATCGAAAGCATCTTGCTATGGTGGGCAGGAAGAGGATCAAGGATACTTTGTGCAAAACCATTGCAAAGAGCAGGTAAGTAAGACATATTTGTTATATAAAAAACAAAATAAGCTTTGGAATCACTTTAACCACTTGCCCTCCTGAGGATTTACCCCCCCCCCCCCTTCCTGACAAGGCCATTGTTTGCATTACGGTGCTGTTACTTTAACAACTGACGGTCAAATTGCAAACTAAATTTATGTCCTTTTTTCCCCATGAATTGAGCTTTCTTTCTGTGGCATTTGATTGTCTGATGCGTTTAATATTTGCGGTATAAAAAAAAAAAAAAAAAAAAAGGACCTACAATTTTGGGAAATAAAACAATATTTTGCTTTTTGCTATTAAACACGTCTAGTAAAAAAAAAAAAAAAATAAATAAAATTCACCATAAATTTAGGCCAAAATGTATTCTGCTACGTGTTTGCTAATAAAAAAAACCCAATACGTGTAAATTAATTAGTTTATGTGAAAGTTATAATGTCTGTATACTGGAATTTTATTTTTTTTTAAATTAGTAATGTCGGCAATCAGCGACTTATAGCGGGACTGCTGCGAGCATTCTGACACTGGGTGGCAAATGACTAGCTGCCACTGACATCTCCAGTGACACCAATACAGTGATCAGTGCTTATAAAAAGCACTGACACTGTACTAATGACACTGGGAAGGAAGGGTTAACTTTTGAGTGATCAAGGGTTAACTGTGTACGTGTTGTTTTACTACATGTGCTGTTATACTAGGGAGGCATGCTGTTTTGTATTCCTCTGCTTTGAAGAGAAATACAAAACAGCATGTCCTTGCTGGCAGGAGAGACCTATTGTTTACACACAGGTCTCTCCCCTGTCAGCTTTGCACAGTGATCGCCGGGTGCCAGTGGGGAATCTCCGGCCGGGACCCGATGATTGACACACCTAGCCACCAACGGCGGTGTGGGTAGGATGGCTTGCGCTCCCTACCCAAAAAATGTAAATCTCATATATATACACACATGATTTTGCGCAGCCCTGCTTCCCTGTCGCAGTACTTCTACTATAGGGGCAGTTGGGAAGCGGTTAAAAAGGTAGGGTTAAGTGTTGAAAGAAAAAGATTAAATGTTATGGGTCCACCTTAGGGTTCAGGTTAGGTGATAGGGTCAGGTTACGGATTCAGGCAGGGAAGGCTTTATGGGTAAAGAGAATTTTTTATGTAAATGGCAGAACGTTCTTGCGCTATCAACACTAAGAACTAGCAGACTGTGCCCCAGAAAAAACTACAAAAAAAAAAAAAAATCCAAAACACGTGCTGTTTATTTTTGGCTCAAGGGCAGAAGCACCAGGGTTTCATCAGCAAGTACACCAGGAAGAACATGCACACAACAAACACATAATGCCACTGATGTGGTATGATGCCCAGTAAGGCAATCAAGTGCTAACCACTGAGCCACAATTCCTGTCAGCTGGGTTTACGTGATAAGGGACATCCTTTATGTGACATCCCATGCTCACGGTTACAGTATTTAGCAATAAGTGGGTAGGAAAAGACAGATAAGAGAATTGTACAAGGGCCACAATGACCTGCAGAGATAAAAGATTTTTTGAAAAAACCCTTTTCTACTCTGGACCATTCAAAGGTATAGAGGGGACCTTGGAAACCAAACAGAAGTGCGTATTCCACTTTATCTTTCCTTTCCAGAGGGAAAATAAAAATAGTAGACTTCACGCTGCTAATTAACAAGCTTCTTCTGGTCATGCTGACCCCAGTTCTACGAACAAGCTTCGCATTCAGGTCTCAAAACAGAGACATGTGCTTGTCAGATGTAATTTCAATGTGGCTTGCATTTGGAACTCGTGAACAAAACTTGCACGTTACATTGCAAACACAAGCTGCTCTCTTCTGAAAATGTTTGCTGCTTGGCTGTCATGCTGATCAAATGGCTTCAATTCTCTCAGATTTAATGGCAGATCAGGCTCACAAATGCTGTACGCTTGCTCTAGATCAGGGTTCTCCAAACTTCCAAAACAATGGGCCATTTTACTGCCCTTCAAACTTTAGACGGGCTGGACTGTGGCCAGCGGGAGTAGAAAAACACCCTGGCATTGGTAGGAGTAAACAATACCATAGATACGGTGGTCAGTGGGAGGAATAGTGTCCCATCATTGGTGTCAGTGGGAGGAACAGCGCCCCATCATTGGTGTCAGTGGGAGGAACAGCGCCCCATCATTGGAGTCAGTGGGAAGAATAGTGCCTCATGTCAGTGGAAGGAATAGTGCCTCAAGGGCCGAATAAAGGCAGGCAAAGGGCCACATCTGTCCCACAGGCCGCAGTTTGAAGACCCCTGTTCTATTTCAATAATTCAAAGAGTAGTTGAAAAAAAAAAAAAAAAAAAAAAAAAAAAAAAATTTGAAAAAGCCAGGAAAACATGTTTTCAGGAGAAGGTAACCGATGGCAGGTACCATATTTGGTTTTCACCTTAAAAGGAAAAGCATTTAGACAATTGTTTACCAGAACGTAATCTTAACAGTGTATTACTTTTAACCACTTCAATACCGGGCACTTTTACCCCCCATCCTGCCCAGGCTAATTTTTAGATTTCAGCGCTCTCACACTTTGAATGACTATTGCGAGGTCATGCAACATTGTAGCCAAACTAAATTTGTATCATTTTGTTCATACAACTAGAGCTTCCTTTTGGTCGTATTTAATCAACACTAGGTTTTTTTTTGCTAAATAAATGAAATAAGACTGAAAATTTAGGGAAAAAAAAACAAGTTTTTCTTTGTTTCTGTTATAAAATGTTGCAAATAAATAATTGTTCTTCATAAATTTAGGCCAAAATGTTTACTGCTACATTTCTTTGGTGAAAATAACCCAAATCAGTGTATATTATTATATTATTTAGTCTGTAGGAAAGAGAGTCCGCAAACTATGGTACATATCTGAAAATTGATCAATCCTCATGTAGTGACGGCTTATCTCATTTCTTGAGGCCCAAAAATGTCAGGAC